GTTGAGTGCACATTGAAACTGTTGGGAGTTCCTTGGCAACTTTACCACCAGGGCTCAATAACTGACAGGTGTCGTCAGCATGACAGATGTCAACGCGGACGTTGATGATCAGTCGAGGGAATTATATTGCGATAGCAAGATTCTTACTTGTTTATGATTACTTTGATTTTCAATCATTACCATTTTATACGCAACAGAAACACTTGAGAAGACAATCACACATCCAAGCGCGCATCATGATGTGCTTGTAATATGCTAAGAGAAGAGGTGACAATACGGGGGCGAAAATGAACCACTTTTCTGTCAAACGTGAACCAGCTCCTGATTGGCCGATTTCATGTGCGTAAGATAGAGATAGAGATAAATAAAGATAGAGATAGAGATAGAAATAAAAGAGGAAGAAGCCTCTTCCTCTTAGGTAATATGTTTTGCTTTCGAACGAAAGAGTTTCCAATATACCACCGGTATCAGTAAGATTTAAATCTCTAATAGTAATTGATGATTTGCGGAGCTGTTGTTCAACATAATCTTAATAAGCATAGAAGTAAACATGGGAAAAACCTCTTCTAAAGAATTATTGCAACACCCCAGCCACTGGAAATGCAACGTATCGAAATCATTGCTAAACGTAATAAAATATGGCGTTTTCTTTGGTCAACGCAGCACGCATTCCATTCATAAATTACGTTGGAATAAAAATTACTTTCCTATTTTATTACGTGTATTTGACAACGCCGGTGAAAACAAACGCAAACGGGAGTAGCCGAAGCTTAATGATGACGATGAGTGATGACACCGCTTCGTGTTTTGATTTGCGCTGCATAGTCCGCTCAGTTGTGTGGGTTCGTACATTTATAGATGTTGGTGTGCGTGTTTTCTTCCAACGCAGCAGTTCAACCAACAATCAATACGAAACTAACGATTTTAAATTGGCTCACTACTTGACTAGCCTATTGGTCCCAAGCAAATCGACTAACGTACCCCATGCTAGTATAAATTCCAGTACTACACTATGTTTGTTTTTAATCGATATGAAAGTTTGACAGATAAAATGAGGGGTTAGTTGATTTTCCTATGTTTCGAGGGGTGAAACGATTAGCTTGGGACCGAAGATAGTACCAGAGCTAAGCCAAAAAGTTGAGCTCGTTTCTTCGAGACTTTCTGGTCTTAGAGTTACCTCTATGGTTCAACCATAGAGGCAACTCTAAGACTAGAAGGTCCCGAAGAAACGTGCTCAACTTTTTGGCTCAGCTCTGGTACTCTCTTCGGTCCCAAGCTAATCGATTCATCCCTCGAAACATAGGAAAAACCAATAACCCCTCATTTTATCTGTCAAACTTTCATAGCGAATTAAAACAAACATTGTGTAGTACTAGAATTTCGACTAGAATGGGGTACGTTAATCGTTTGCTTGGGACCAATAGGCTAGTCAAGCAGTGAGCCAATTTAAAATCGTTAGTTTCGTATTGATTGTTGGTTCAACGTTGTCTCGTCACAAACCGTTTGGCGTTTTTTTTATAATCCGTTTATTTTTCCATTCTCATTTGCTGTAGCTTTGGGGAGCCATTTTGGCGCTGTTATCTGTCTCTATAAATTCCAAAGAGTGAAGGGGATCTGGTTAAATGCTTGTCCGATTCTATAACATTCCCCAGAAAACCATTCCCCAGAAAAGTATGCCATGTATTAGATTGACTATTTTTGTTTATTATAGTCACTCCTGGAATCTTCTTTCGCGTATATAAAAAGAAGAGAAAAACATCTTAATTGGTCAAGAGGTTTTAGGAGACCTTAATGGATTAAGGGGTTTTCCCTTCTTTGAAAGTATAAGAAAAGAAAATAATTAATTCTTTGGATATACGATAAAGAAGGGAATATTCCCTTCTTTTAATATTTAAAAGAGAACATAATTAATTCGTTAAATATATGATAAAGAAGGGAATATTCCCTTCTTTGAAAATATAACAAAAGGAAATAATTAATTCTTTGGAAAAACGATAAAAAGGGAATTTTCTTTCTTTGAATATAAAAAAGAGAAATTAATTAATTCTTTGGATGTATGTATGAAAAAGAAGGTAATATCATAGAGGTAACTCTAAGACTAGTAGGTCCCGAAGAAACGAGCTCAACTTTTTGGCTCAGCTCTGGTACTTTCTTCGGTCCCAAGCTAATCGATTCACCCCTCGAAACATAGGAAATTCCTCTAACCCCTCATTTTATCTGTCAAACTTTCATAGCGAATCAAAACAAACATTGTGCAGTACTACAATTTTGACTAGAATGGGGTACGTTAATCGATTTGCTTGGGACCAATAGGCTAGTCAAGTAGTGAGCCAATTTCAAATCGATAGTTTCGTATTGATTGTTGGTAATATTCCCTTCTTTTAATATATAAGGAAAATATATAATCAATAGCTTTTCGGAAGGAATGCGGGGTAATGCCTATTCGGGATAATAAAGTGTGGAATAATGTTATAAATTTGTAATCGGTAGTTCAACGTTCCATGCACCGATTTTTTAATCCATCACGAGAAATTCTTCAACTCTGGTCGAACAATTCTTCGATAAGGTTTAACAGTTTCCGACTGGTTGAATTGGATTGCATAATAGACCCTTGACTTTTTAAATGGTGAACGAAGTGCTCGAAAACTTGAATGTTGTCATTTTCTAAAGAGCTATAAAATGGTTTGGAATTGATAAATACATAGTTCCATAAATGTAAACGTGTATCATCAATAGTAAAGTGAAACTAATCAGAGTTTTATCATGAAAAATATATTAAATCAAATGTGTAAAATTTATCGAGGAAATTGGTATTCAGAAGATGTATTATTCAGTGTGCAAGATACTTGCGGACCTGTTTATTTTTGGACGGCTGTTCTGTAATATAAAACTGAAATATAATATCAAATGACAAAAAAAAAGTGATAAATTACTTATTTCATCTGGGGAATTGGTACATTCTGGGGAATGGTGCATTCTGGGGAATGTTATAGAATTGCTTATCTAATGAACAACTTGCGAGTGTTGTATCTGATTGTCTGTGAATTTCGTGTATTGCTTATGGTTGCTTTATGTTTTTTTTTAGATTGGCACGCTTTGTTTGGATCGGCGGTCGTGACCCAACTAACATTTTCAGCTTTATAAGCCAACTTTTCCATAAGCCAGCTTTATAAGCTAGCTGAAACAAAGCTGCAGATACAGCTACAAGCAGAAGCTAGCAAAATAGTTTTGGAGAGCGTTTTCTCAACTTTCTCACAACCATTATTCAGTTTGTCAGTCGCACTGAGTAACATCAGCCAATAAACGCGAATGTTTCTTCTATACACATACTAATCAACTTTCAACTTGTAGCTGCAAAACAAAGCTAACATAGTGTATATTTATATTACTCATTTAGCTAATAAACTGTGTTAGCGCTACTTTGAAAGCTATTTTACAGTCAATTAGGTTTATTTTTAGAGTTGTGCAGTTTTACAGGATCCTTTACAAAGCTGAAGTAACTAGTCGAGAAAAGTGATTCATGTGCACTATTATCATAGAGGTAACTCTAAGACTAGTAGGTCCCGAAGAAACGGGCTCAACTTTTTGGCTCAGCTCTGGTACTATCTTCGGTCCTAAGCTAATCGATTCACCCCTCGAAACATAGGAAATTCTATTAACCCCTCATTTTATCTGTCAAACTTTCATAGCGAATCATAATCGATAGTTTCGTATTGATTGTTGGTGATTGTAGGCCCACGAACATTAGATCCGGATCGGACGCGTTGCGGCAAAGTGACAGCTAAATCTATCGTCTAACTGTCAAATATACGTCAACGCCACGCAAACGGATCTAATGTGGGTGGCCCTTTAGGATCAGTTTTGAGCTCGTACCACCTACGAATTTGTGTAACGTGCTAACTATGAATTCTTTTCTTCGATGAAATCCACTATATTTGCCATGTTTGCATGATGAGATGATATTTGGCTCATGGTAGCAGAAATTAAACAAAACAGTCCTATGTCATGTGGATTTCCCATCTACACACTAAGATTATTTCACCGAAATCTCAACAGCTGAACGTTCAGTGATTTTTCACCGAATATCTGTGAAAAATTACAGGAAATCTGTGAAAAATCACGGAACAACCGTTTACCGAACGTTCAGCTATTGAGATTTCGGTAAAATAATCTAAGTGTGTTCATAAGACTGTTATGCGAATTGCAGCGGTATAGGTACAATGAAAAGAGAAGAAATAAAACTAACTTACCATTGCTTTCATCCCTCGGATTCGTCCAGTCTTCAGCGCTCTATAAAGGGGGGAGAACGTGTTACCAGTTGTAGCGCATCTAGTCTTATCGCTCGCTAGTCCAGGATGTAAGTAGCGGTAACGACAAATGATGTCATTAATGATGAGCACACGCGTATCAACCAACCGCTGTTTGCGTTGTTGAATTTTTCAAGCACGTCGATCGAACCGTGACAAAAATGATACACGACCACGACACCAATTTGTCACTGCCTAAATCCTTCGAGATGGTGGGATATATTTCGGCATTAACTGAATTTGCTTTTGTTTGTTTTCGGTTTTTGTTTAGCGATTTTTTTTTTGTTTTATTTTCAGTTTTTTTTTTCTATTTCACTTAAAATAATGATCTTTTAATCATAAAAACAATAATTTTCCCATTCCTCGAGCCGTTCATTCTCATTCAAATCAAGTGCTTACGTCTTTTGATGTTGTTTCGTTCTTATTTCTGGCGTGAAAAATCACACCATCACACCCGGTGCCCGAGGAACTTATTCAGAGGGGGAGGGGGGGGGGGGGGCAAACAAAAAACAGAACAACAAAAATCAGTTTCCTTCATTTTCGGTTTTGCATTCTTGCCAAGGTTTTTGATGCACTGCGTCAGCTGAACTATTGTTCGTTTTGTTTTGCTTTTCTTGTATGTGTTTTTTTTTATATCATGATGATGGATTAGTGATTTCTATGCCGATCGATGCCGAATGATGTTAAGGCGGATTTATTTTTTCATTTTTAAATCTTGCTTCCTGATCACACGCGAAATAAAATTTTGTCTGGTTTACAGGATTCGGTTTCAAACTGAACAAAATTTTATGGAAAGCATTTTTTCTCCTTTAAACTACTTCAGATTATTAGTTATGCAGAGTTTTCCGCGTTTCTTGATTTCTGATTTCGTATGTCTTTTTTTTCCACAATGATGCTATCCTTCAGTTTTTGAAGGAACATGGCTTTCGTGAATTGTTTGCACATTTCTGCTTGTGCTTATCATTGATCGTTTTTTATGCTTTCATAGCAGATTTCTTCTTCTTGTTGCTTCATTTTCTGCATGTTTGTTTCTATTGTTTTCCTAGTTTGATTAACATGTTTAACATGTTACATTTTCACTTCTTCTCTTTCTTTTGGTTTCCTTTCAGCACGTTTTTTTTTTTTTCTATTTCCACTGCAATATTCTTTTGTTCAACGTATTTTTCGCTTTTATTCGGTTACAGTATATTAGCACCGATTACTGTGTCACTCCTTTTCAGTACATGTGTTGTGTATCACTGCACTCACGTCAACATTTCCGTGTTTGTTTCGCTTTATTTTCCTTTCGCTAGGTTTTCATTTTCAATAAGTTACATTTGTTTTATTGGCTAAGAGTTTATTCGACATCGCTTCTTTTCACTATCAACATTCTGCTTGTGTTCAATTTCTTTTTCTACTACTCTCACATACCTACTCAAGACGCACAACAGCTCACGTACTCATCACGCAAGTAATTAATGTATAATAAACATTTTACATCCCATTTTATATCTCAATGGGAATACTTCCATCAGTCGGGAAAGGTTTATTCTGTTCTCACCCAAGTTCGCACATTAGCATCCAACTACCTAGGTCCTAAAAATTATTCTGAGCGCCGCGCGTAAAATTTTCCAGGAGCATCGCGTTCTTCGATCCTTTCTTGTTTCTTGGTTTGTTTGTTTCTTCGGTATGGTTATGTTCAAATTAATTTACCTAAGGGCTGTACTTTTTACTTTCTTGATCTAAGCTACGCAATTGTGGATCGGTTAGACCAATTCGTCGGTGCCAACTTTTGTTTTCAGTTTCTACGCACAACGTCTACTCTATTCGATTTCTGTGTTTTTCTTCATTCACAATCTGAAATGATCGTCAATTCATGCCAGAGCAAACGATTATGAGAGGACATTTCGTGGATAGCTTAGGTTGTTTTGTTAGCTAATTGAAACTCGAATGCGGCGGTCAAGCAAAACTCAGGCATTTTGAGAAGATAAAAAAAAAGAAAACTAAAGTAGATAAAGCAAAACTAAGAATAGGTCTACAGAAAAAGAAAATGTTATTTTTAAGAGAACATAGCTTTTAAAACGTTTGCAATAGAGACGTTTGTGTTAGGAACATTCGGAAAGCTTTAAAACTACCCAGATATCTATCATAATTAAAACAGTTAAAGAGTTTCAAAATAATGGAGGCAAAAATATTTGTACTTATTCCCGCATTCGATGATGCATTTTATCCGTTCAGTTCGAAAACGGGAATGAGGTCGATTTAATGCTTAAGGAGTAGGATAACAAACAAACAAACAAACAAACAAAAATGGCTTGGAGTTGTTACATTTGCCATTTGCTCTTCTCAGTTATTTACAGAAATGGATCGCTTCGATTTGTCCCATTTGGCATAAAACATTTCTTGCAGAAGTCGTGTTCCAGGAAGATTGATTCAAGGTATTTTTCAATTAAGTTTAAACAAAGTTTGAAAGTATTTTCCGAACGAAAATTGAATACATGCTTTAGAAAACAGTTTAACAGAAAAAGTTCATACGAATGTCATAAATAGGTACAGATTGGACTGTCACTTTTGGTAAGTATGCCATGTCATAACCCTTGCTGTTTAAGTTTTAGGATTTTTTATGGATTTTATTGACGAGAGTGCTCTTTTTGTTGAACGTAGTAAGATTTATTTGCTTTTATTCACACACATAAATGAGAAACACCGTTGAATTAACGATAGTTTCCCGATTCAAAGACAGTTGTCTACGCCAATTATAAGAGACATTTTCATTTCGATCAATTAATATCATGGACTGGTTCCATCAGAGAGAGGGGTCAAGTCTCATATTTGTTTTGTAATAATAACTAGCTGACCCGGCAAACGACGTACAGCTTAGTTGTTTGATATATACCAGTCGAGGCTCAAGACGAACAAAGTAAAAAATAATCGTGAAAATTCGTCAATCCGTTGTCGGGTTATAGCGTGATATACGATCACCATTTCATTTTTATTTATAGAGAAGAGAAGATTTGGCCAGGGAAATGCATAGAAGCTCTTAAGAAATTTTAAAACAGGTCTGCTACATTGGAAGTTCTCATAGATTTATCAAAACTTAATACAACTGCTTAACATTTAGAATATCTTCAAAATATCTACAGCTTAAATGTCTTTTCACAGATTCAAGTGTCTTAGAAAACTGAAGACATGCCTTCAAGTTTGGCATCACTGTACAACTGCATTACTCTACAGGCACGGCAGTTATCGGAAAGTTTTCAAATATTCGGTTCGGTGTATTTGGTGACATTCGGCGAACTGTATTGCAGGGTTTTAACCGAAATCCCAATGTTCAATCCCCAAAATCCGCGACACGCAATGCTTTTATTCGCGCCAAAGAAAAGATATTTAAGTTACAACCCAAATCCATAAAAAAAAACATGTAGGAAAACACCCAACAAATTCTTAAATTGCCTTGAATCAGTTTTTCAAAGCCTGTGCTGAATTAACAAGAATCATTAAAAAAAACTACATGTCTCAGAACATGAAAATGTCTGTCTCCATCTCTGGAATGTTGAAATATTTTCTTAAACGGGACAAATTTTCAAAACGTTGCCTAGGATCTTTAAAGTTCTCCTAACAATGAGATCAGCTGCAGGATCTCAAACAATATCCTAAACCTAAGAATATTTTTTTTTCTTCAAGAAAACAGAACTTTTAGAAGCCCTAGAACTTTTAATTCTTTTTAGTGGAATTTTGCCATCATTGCAACATGGGAATATTTTTCTTAATCTTTGAATTTTCCGTACCTTAAAACCTTTTGCTATTTTTTATTACTGCATCTCAATTTTTACAAGTTTGAAATTTTCAGATCAATTTCTGAGTTCAAAATATCACTTTTCACATCATCCAATACTTGATGTTGTGGAAAAAGGAAGAATTTGAAACTTTCACGAATGCAGTACGGATATTCTGCGAGTCGTGTGACTCTCCGCCAATAGTGAGGTGACTCCCCATGCAAATCAAATGGGCAGTCATCTCAAACGACGTGACTTTTGTCACCTCACTAGTAACAGAGAGTCACACGACTTGCAGAATAGGCCTGCGCATAACTGTCCCATGTCCTATGCTATCCTTATGGGCCATGGGACAGTTCCATCTAGTGACTTCCAGAGTCCATATTTAGGTCATTATTGTGTATTCTCGGTTTGGAAAAATTAGATAAATATATTGGTGAATACCAGCGAAGACATCATATCAAAAAATGAGCAAATACACAAACCTTTCTTCTAAGGGTGTAATCTTTGCTATCAAATTCGTTCGAAGCATTTACCTTTGAGCGGCAGATGACGCAATTGTACCTGTCTCATAGCGTTCGTATGAGAAAATGGAAGAGTTGCCAGTCTTCTTGATATGTTGTCTTCGATACCAGTCAAACCAATACGAAGAAATGGACTATAGATAGATCCTGCATAAGAGGCATTCGAATAAAAATACGATGTATATTGCTACACCAGTCTAACTTTCTGTCTCTATTTCCATCAAAAAACTACGAAACGTCTTAGTCCCTGTGAAGGACATTTTAGTCACAACTCCAAACCTGGGTACTGCGGTCTCACTCAAGGCAATTGTCAACTGGGCACCAATTTGAATTTGAGTCAAATATTCAGGAGCCATAAATGAAGTAACTCTTCTTATCTATTGTGTTAAGTATTGTAATTTCATAGAAATTAACTACCTATAATTTTTCGTAAGCCATAATTAATTGTTAGCCCAACGGAATATACCACCAAACTCAGTGAACAAAACATAGAAACCAGCAGTTTTGATGACTTAGCAGGGTTTCGATTTCAATTGAACATACTCTGGCGAAACAAGAATGCCAGCAAACTTTAATGGACAGGACTACTTTGCGAGTCATGCGACTCTCTGTCACTAGTGAGGTGAATCTCCATTTGATGGGATAAGGCCTATTCTGCGCCGCGAGTAAGGTGAGGAGACTCGCTATCTCTAGTGAGGTGACAATAGTCACCGCGAGTAAGGTGACTCCACATTTGATTTGCACGGAGAGTCACCTCACCTCACTCGCGCGCAGAATAAGGGGGATTGCAAAAAGCGTTGTTGGCTACTTGGACATGTCTAGTGGCTATTACATCACCCAATTAGTATTCTAAAAAGATTCCTTAACCATTTTTTTTAAGAACTCTTAACTTTTCTGAAGAAGTAACCACTCTGTGGTTCATTTGACCTTCACTAAACTTACCCTTAGGTTAACTGAGGTACACTTAAACGTATCCGAAGAATCATCTTTAAGTTCCAAAAGATCTCTGGGATTCGCCCAAACATCTCTGAGGTGAGTTCTTTTGTCTTGTTTAAACTACAATGATGTTCCCTGCGTTTCTCTGAATAGCTCTGAAATCCAGTGGTCTTCTTTGAAATTCAGGATGATTTTTTTTTCTCAAAAATTCTCTGGACTTCTGAGAGGATCAGGGATTTAATGAAAATATGTGAGAGAACTTCTGAGAGATTCGACGAGCTAGTGCTTAAGAGAGGATCTGCGAACTTCAAACTTAAGAGTAGTTCAGATAGCTTGGAAGAGGTCCAGGAAGCATCAAATATATTCAACGACATCCACACCAATACATACATCTTAGTGTTCAGGGAACTGGAAGCTATGAGAAACTTTGAAGCTTTCAGTTCCAGGCTTCCAATACTTAAATACGTTCTGAGAACTATAGAAATGACCTAAATATCTTCGGGAGATTCAATTCAACACTGCGATCTTTAAAAAAATACAACTTATAATGATTTCAGTAGTCTGTCTAGGTGAACGGTTGAAGGCATTGTTAACAACAGTATTTTGTTTTTTCTTCCTTGATTTGTTTTCCGTCGATCTTGTATTCCGTACTGAGTACCAATGCTACCACACCTGGACCCTACCTATCGACTCATCAACTCATGGACCGGAGACAAACGGCTTTACTTCCCCTCCGAATGAAGGCGTGATCAGAGATTTTATGCCTCAGAAAATCCCGACGGCGCCGACTGGGATTGAACCCAGGCCGTTGAAAGTGAGAGGCAGTCACGCTTACCACTACACCACCGGCACCGCTACAACAGCATTTGTTTCTATTTGAAAATATGTCCTTGAAATAATTAGAATAGAGTTTTCAAATAATTAAAAATGAAACTTAGTTGAAGATCTAATCCGTACCAGACCAATGCAAATCCGCTTAAATCACAAAAATCACGTAGTCGAAACAACCCTGCATTTTTGCATATCTTCAAACGATACTCAAGTAGTTTCATGTTCGAAAATTGAAATATCCTTTTGAATGCAACTTTTTGGGAGTTTGAGTCAACAGAGGGTGTTTCTTGCGATGCGAAGAACGTGCTCGACAGTCCATGAGGGCCTAATTGTGAGCAGCTACTTTGACGAAAACGCTTTTTTCATAATTTTCAATTTCAGCCTTCCTGCAAAATTTGCTTTTTCGACCACTGTCTGCCGTAATATTTTTTTTTCTCAAACTGACATCCCAGTTCTGCAGGTACTCTAGCCATTCTTCTAGTAAAGATTCAACTGGAAATTCTTAGGACTTCTTCTGGCTTTCAATGGGAGATGCCTAACCTTCTCTGAACATTTTCTAAGTGTCCAAAAAGTGTTCATAACTTTTCTTGGAAGTCCTTCATGTTTATCTGAGAAATCCTTCATGCTTTTCTCTCATTATTTTTTAATTTAGCTTGGTTTCTCACCGGTGTTCTGTTGCTTGAATAATTATAGATACTTTTAAGGCCATTCGTGACTTATCAGGTGATAGAATATGAATCCGTGACCATCATTGTAAGCAGTATGGATTTGAATCTCTGCACCAAGCCCCGAATCCCTTTAAATTTTTCGCATTTTCACATCAAATGTTCTGAAAGTCTACTTTGGCAGATCTTTTTAAAGTTTTTCCAAAAGCCCTATCAAGTTGCTTGATAAAAAAACAATTATGAAAAGTTAGGGAGAATTAACACCGACCAACCGACATGACACAGGAGCATTTTGTTTGTCCACAAATCAATTTCTCATCCGAGCGATTCGAATTGTCAAATGGGTGATCAGATCTTTCAAACGAGGTGAGACGCAAACCAAGGCAATATAAATTCTACGTGTGTTCGTGACGTCCTGAGCAAGAATTTGATTGTTGCTGGTATAAGCTGTAACGTCGATTCGTCGGTGGAATTAAGGTGAATCGATGTGGAAACATTATTTCTGATAATCTCATTGTCCCCTCGAAATTTCAAGTGCGCAAATATCAGCTATCACATTACACACAACAATGAAACTGGAACCCCACGTTTACTGCAGTGCAGGCCACAAGGAGTTCCAATTTCATGAGCGATGTCGCAACAGTACCCGAGACTTGTGCTCTAGAAAGCTTGAAGTGATAGGACATATCAGCCATCATGACGGCAATTGTTCAACTCGAATCACCTTAACCTTCTCCGTCTCTTGGCAGCACTGATGATCCACTTGTTTTCGGTTCGTCTCATGTCTGTCTATCTACCATGAAATCGTCAGTACCGTAAAACGGGGTAGCTTTGATATTATTTTTTTAGGTATATTCTAAATATGTTTTACAACAATTAATGCTTTTCAAATATTATGTTTATGAAACAAGTACTGAGGATCCTAGAGCTAATTCATTAGTAATATGTTTAACGGAAATTATTGCATTTGCACTTTTTTTTTTCTAGTGACCGAACATCAGTTTTTTTGTTTTGGGTTTACTTTGATAATACCCGATGAATGCAGAAAAACCTGCGTGAATCTCAAACAATTTAGTTCAAGAAATATGAAACTTTGAATGAGTATACAATCAGAAACACAATAAGCAATAAGAAGACAACATTGAATTTGTGATGGCTATATCCCGTTTTACGGTACTTATTATTTTCTCTCTAACCACAACGAATTAAGGGTTAAGAATAATATGGTTCTCAACCATAAAAAACAATCAAATTGCACATAAATTAATTTTCCGTGAACTTGCTTCGAATAAAATATTTCGTGAAATATTATGTTGGGTGGGAAGAAAGTGATAAAGATCAACAACCTTCCCAAGAGTGCCGAAAGTCGTTCAAACGACTTATATGAAGGAATCAAAAGACTTATGAACGTGATTTGGCGAACAAAGGATAGTTCCATAGACCCATTACCTTAACAGCGACGAGTTCAACTTCTAAACGATTTTATGCCAAGTGGGATTCTCCAAGTGGGAACAACTGTATTTCTCCGCTTAACAAATAATAATAATAAAAAAACAAGAAATAAATACATCTGCTACAACACCTGATGCCTATTCGAGATAATCAAGTTTGTTTTTGCTCCAACTATACGGTAACCGCAAAATACTGAATAATGACTAAAAAGTACGAAATTTCGAGGGAAAATGGGACTACCCATAGTAATACCTATTTAATGGGTGGTCCCATTTTCCCTCGAAAATGCGTACTTTATAGCCATTATTGAGAATTTTGCGGTTACCGTGTAAACTAGGCCGCAAATATCGTTCAACACCGACTCATTCTTGTTTCTTCATCTATTTTTTTTGTGTTTACAACGCTAGGGCTCTACTATTTATAAACACATCCCTCATAAACACACGTTTTCTTCTCTCTCTCTCTCTGTTCTCTGATTCTACCAGTAGGTTCATTCACGTTTTCCTTTCGTTTATCCCTAAACTGCCGGTGGCCTAGCCATTAGTACTTGTTTGCAACGTTGCTGATAAAATTGGTAATGCCTAAATCTTCACCTCCTTCTTTTCGTTACGATAATTTTGCGTTCGGACGCTTTTATCTGTACCTCCCTTCATGTGCCAAAACACTTAAAAAATAAACAAGAAAATGCAACACTTCTACCTCCATCGATCCATCACACTGCGTGTTTCGCCTTCCTCCTACACTGTCACTGACTGTGACGATTTCCACTTGCTAACAGTTTGACATAGCTACTTACTAGTGGTACAATAGTAATAGTACTATATAACTTATGCTTTGCTGCGAAACAATCAAACAACTGAGAAAAGAAGATATCTACACTCTCTAATAGCAGATGGTATGTAGTATGTAGTAGTTTCCACACGCACGCGATACGGATTTGCTTTCTTCTCTCGATCAATATACAATGTATCAAATTCACGTAGTTTCTAACGCAATGATACACATCGAACACTATTATTCTTGAAATACAAACCTACACTGCGGTGCTTCATCAGTTCTTGATCGGTTTACCACCGTACGACACGCCGCTGTGGGCGATTGCTCCGGTGCTGTTGATGTTGTTGTTGGCGGCGCCCGGGTGATGATGATGGTGGTGGTGGTGGTGATGATGATGGTACCCATTATTGTTGCTACTGTTGCTGCTGCTGCTGATGTTGTTGCTGCTGGCATTGAATTTATGCTACTGAGCGGATGGGTGCTGCGTCACGTGCATTACGTGTAAGTTTTGCTGGTGGTGGTTCTGGGGAGGTGCCGCCTGGGTCATGTTCTGGTAGATCGTGGGAATGATTTGTGTTGGTGTGGGTACCATGGGGCACACCACCGGATACTGCGGGGGCTGATGTTGGTGGGCCGGAACGTACGTGGGAGGCCCTGCGGTCGCTTGCGAGGGTTGCGATCCATGATGGTACTGCTGGTGGGGCTGTCCAGGCGAGGGTGTCGTCGAGGGCGGGGTAGGCGTGAGATACTGCAGCTGGGCTGGCTGCCCAGTTTCGTGGTAGACGTACCGAGGCGGAAACGAAGGTGCTGCCTGGAAGTGCTGATGATGTAGCGCTGGCGGATAGGGCGGGAACATTTGAATGGGACCAGTCATCAGGGGCTGACCAGTGGCTGCTGCCACCTGAATCTGGGAGGCTGCTGCAACCGGCACTGGAAATACGAACAGTAAAGGTTAACGATAGGTTCTACGGTAGTGGTACATGAATGAACAACACACAGAGGATCACACGCAGATTTTAGTGTATCCTAACGATCAAACCTAATTGGGGCAGAGCTTTCTACAGTACGTTGCATTAGGGTAATGACTCTAGCCCATTTGGCAACATACCGTTTAGCATAATGCCAAACACTTAGATATGTTGCCTTCTTTCATGGGATGTACTTCACCGGACTGTGAAAGAACAGCTCATGATCAAAAGAAGGGAACATAATTTCTAAATTGGTACACTGAACCCACAATTATGGATTACTTCCATTTGATTAACACGCTAGACTGCCTGATCCATAATTATTTTTAGCTGATCTATAATCGCGGGGTCAGTGTATATTCCCTTCTTTGAACATAAGCTATCCTTTCATATTTCTTGGAGAATAGATCATAATAAAGAAAAGCAGCATTATTCGGTAAAAGCAATAAAATGTATTTGTCTATTTATGCCAAATGGACATTATGCCAAACGGCATTATTGAAAATGGGGTAGATCCAAAAATGAAAGTAATAATGCGAGGAGGTGCTGGAAAAATTATTTAAATTTTGTGACAATCTCGACATACATCAGAAGCCTAATAAGAGCTTATTCAGTCTTTTAAATTTGTCGAACCTCTTGACGGAATCCCTTTATAAAGAGCAGGCAAAAATATGCTTCTGCAGCTAAAAAATATCTTTCTGCTTTTAATCAAAATTATTTGTTGGGAGTATAAGTAATAACTAGATGAAAATATGACTCAGTGACATTACCCTGAATCAAATTCCAAAAAAATGTAATGTTCCTAATTATGTTTACCATTTGATAAATGATGGTATTCTATCAGGTACCTATTATATTATAATAAATCAAAAACATTTGATCAATCATACAAAAAAAACATACATGTTGATGAATAAGGAAGTATTTCCTTCGTTATTGAATATCCGGTGTCCCAAATAACGGGTTATATTTAACCCGTACTTGCAAATGACGGATCGAATCGAACCAACCAACAACACAGGAATTTGCGAACACGCAAAATAACTTTCGTACTGTCGTTATCAGTGATGGGCAAAACACCGGTGTACAGCACCGGTACGGATTTCTAAATCATAACCAATGTACTGATCTGTTGTACCGAGTGTTTGGTGCTGCTGTCGGTTCGGTTTGGTAGTTGCAAACAACACTGCACCGTGTTCACCAGTTCGCTGGACACGGTGCGGTTCTCATTTTCCAGTACCGGTGTTCGTGTTCACAAGGATGATGTTTTGAATTCAAGAACCGATCCGGTACTGTTGTATGCGTTTATGTGGGTGGTGCGCATTATTCAGAATTGCCAGTGATGGCAGATAACTAAACAGAATTTGTATTTGATGAATAAAATTATGCAGTGTCAAGTCGAAATAGCGGTTTTTGAATACAGAAAAACTGTGAATTCTAATGATGTATTTCAGAATCGGGGTGACGTGGAGACCGGACATCGTCGACCAACGCCATCTTGAAATCCTAGATGGTGGTTTCTGGTTATAGAAAAAAAATTAAACACTGTTAAATACCTTTCAATATGGGTATTTCCGGAATCAGGGTGGCGTCTTGAAACCGGAAATCAATGTCTGACGCCATCTTGAAATTAAGATGGTGGCTTCTGGTTGTAGAAAAACTGGGAAATACTAGAAAATGCCCATCAATATGGGTATTTTCGGAATCGGGATGACGTATATATACCGAAAATCAATGTCTGACGCCATTTTGAAATCCAAGATGGCGACTTCCGGTTATAGAAAAACTGGGAAATAATGCCAAATATCCTTCAATATGGGTATTTTATTTATTTAGACGCCATCTTGAAATTTCCGTTTTTTCTTTAACAGGAAGCCACCATCTTGGATTTCAAGAAAATTCCCTGAAATTTTCTGAGTTTCCATGTTATAAATGGAATTCCCATAGATTACCTCATTGTACAGCTAGTCGACACGCTGATATTTGATGGACCAGCAGCCAGATTTTCAAAAATGTTGTTGAGCATACTGATCACTCAAAAAATTCCAAACGTCATCACCATGTGTCTCACACTTAATTGAGAAACACATCCATTTCATGTGTGAATCTTGTGCTGTGAACCATGCCTCAACACTATTGGTTCGAATTACGACACACTTGGAGTCTATGTACCTCACATGGTAATATCAGTAGCTTTGCACATCATAGTTCAATGTTGTTCAATATTCTACTTTACCGACTCCAAAATTGAATCGATAAATATATAAACAAAGCTGCCAGAGGGCAGAGCTTACACATTTCAATTTTTAATAGGTTTGATTTGGGAATTGATCCTGGACTGTTGAGGTGTGCTGCTGCCGTTGTTTTCATTCGATCTCACTGGGCCACGGTTGTTCTCATATATGAGGCTAGTTGATAAGGATGAAGTCATAACTCACGTTTTCGATGTTTACCAAGCAATTCACATCGCATTGAAATGCAAAACACTTTAAATCCATCTGTTTTGAACAGTAGTGTGATTCAATGTACAATACACTTAAATTGATAGAGAATGATCATTTCAAACACTAGAAATCAACGTGTAGAACACATTGAACCATGGTGAAATACACTTAAACCATAGAGGTAACTCTAAGACAAGTAGGTCCCGAAGAAACGTGCTCAACTTTTTGGCTCACCTCTGGTACTATCTTCGGTCCCAAGCTTTTCGAATCACCCCTCGAAACATAGGAAAAACCAATAACCCCTCATTTTATCTGTCAAACTTTCATAGCGAATCAAAACAAGCATTGCGTAGTACTAGAATTTCGACTAGAATAGGGTACGTTAATCGTTTGCTTGGGACCAATAGGCTACTAAAGTGGTGAGCCAATTTAAAATCGTTAGTTTCGTATTGATTGTTGCTTAAACTACATGTAATGTGGGACGACGGGGCAAGATTAGCACCTTTTATCACAAACGAAGTGACAGACGACTAACTGGCGAAGAAATCAATTAAAATAATGTGGTTCGCTGTAATAGAATTTTTTTAGAAGCTTGTGCCATCATCCACCAGATGGGATAGTATTTTTGTTTTGGTTTTGCACAAAGTTGATTTTGTGTACAATGATTCTTTGACAGTGTGCAAAGAGTGCGTATCATTTTGTCATTTTTTTATGCATTTCAGTTTTGAGTAGAGTGAAAGAGATAGAACCAAAACATTCTAGTACATTTGGTGAAAATGCTAGTTCAATCCAGTAGTAGTGTTGCCATGTGGTTCAATCCAGTAGTAGTGGTGTTGCCATGTGGTACACTGAAAAATTGCAATAGCAGGTTAGTCACCAAAGTTTTCGAGCCGCTCCGTCTGTCACTTCGTTAGTGCTTTTATCTTTATCAACAATCTGCTCTCAAAACAATCGACACATTGAAGTTCAAAAACGCTGTAGAAAATTACCATTTGGGTTGAAGTAGTTTAGAGTGTATTGTTTACACTGTATTTTTATCGCTGTCAGTTTTTCGAAAGTTGGAAAAAATGGCGTCACCCAGAAAGCAACGCCGCGAATTGATTTTGCGCAAGCACCTGGAAAATCCTCAACTCTCTCATCGAGACATCGGAAAACAACTCGGAATCGTGCAGTCAACGGTGAGTCGTGTGATTATACGTTACTACGAAACTCTGACAGGGTGGCAAGTGAATTTCCATTTTGAAATTCCTGGTTTTTTCTTGTTTTTCCTGGTCAATGATTTAAAAATTTCCTGGTTTTAAAAACCATATTTTTAAAAAATAATCTTTAAATATAAAAATGAATTTCTGTCTGTCTGTCTGACCCTTATAGACTCGGAAACTACTGAACCGATTGGCGTGAAAATTTGTATACAGGGGTTTTTGGGACCGTGGAAGGTTCTTATGATGGTTCGAGACCCCTCCCCCTTCTGTAAGGGGGGGGGGCTCCCATACAAATGACACATAAATTTCTGCATAACTCGAGAACTAATCAAGCAAATGGAACCAAATTAGGCATGTGGGGGCGAGTGTGGGGGTATAAGGAGATAATCATAGGGGGTAGCCCCTTAGATATTAGGGGGGGGGCTACGTACAATATACCATGCTTTTTTTTTTAAATCGGCGCATAAACTCAAGCTAATATTGAATCCCGAGCGAGACCGGGCACACTCAGCTAGTTTTTAATAAAAAAGAATGAAGTGAATCCTTGTACCACAGACAAACAGACATAACACATTGAATATTTCTCACTGTAAAACATCGTCGCTAAAACATTACCGCCATCTGTTGAGTACACTGTGGTGGGTAGTACGCTGAACAGATGGCGGTAGTGTGCAAACGTCAAACGCAAGGGCATTGACTATGCGCGCCACAGCTGGCGGTACTACCAACTATGATACCTTTAAATTGACCGGTAAATGCTTGTTCGATGAACAACTTGCGAGTGTTATGTCTGTTTGTCTGTGCTTGTACCATCGTTCTTCGCGCAATGCGGAATTTCACAAACCAAAATAGGGATTAGGGTTCTTGTGAATGCCCGTGAAATCTTCATCTGATTGTTGCTGCGCTACTTCGTCGTATCATGGCGCCTATTTTCATTCAATGTGCTAAAACTATAATAGCAAAGCGTTTTCACTCATGTTTTTGCAAAAACATCTTTGCTTAAAAGATTAATTACGATTGACATTGAAACATTTGCGATAACTCGTAAAATGAGCGATTTTAGGGGTGTAGGACGAAGAAGCTGTACGACGGACTAGCTCGGAGCCTTATCCAATGTCTGAAATTTAGAAATCTATAAGCCCCTAAATCTTGAGATTTCTGTTTTTGAAACTGTGATTTTTTTAACTTTGTAATTGAGATTTTTAGCCAACGGGCTAGTTATCTCAAGGTGAAATTGCGAAGTGTGATATGAATGAGGGCTCTTTAAACAAACCTTTGCTTCTAACAATTTTACGGATTTCCAGTTTGTTTAAATTTTCCGCAAATTGTCAACGATCAACGATCTGATTTAGCGGAATTGAATTATAACATGATTTCAAAATCATATGATTAAAAGAGTTCATAAATAACGCTTTAAAAACTCTTATTATTAAAAAGACTGACTGCTGAAGTTCATAGAAACTCCTAAAGTTCGTAGAACTTCCCTGAAGCGTTAAGGTCTTTCCTGAAGGGTTCATTGAAGTTTGTATTGCCTGAATTTCATGGGACTTCCCCGAAGTTCGAAGGACTTTATTTAAGATCTTAGGACTTCCATGAAGTTCGGAGTTTTTTTTTAAATTCATAGGAATTTCCTAAATATCGTAGAAGTACAATGAACTTCGTATAAATTTTCAGAAGTTCGTAAGACTTCCTTCAAGTTCGAAGAACTTTCTCGAAGATATGAGGACTTTCCTGAAGTTTGAAGGACTTAACTTAATATATGAGGCCCCTTAATTTAGAAGAGCTTCCCTGAAGTTCATAAGGCTTTAAATATCGAAGGGTTTTCCAAAAGTTTGTGGGTCTTTCCTTAATTTCTTGGAAATTCCCTGAAGTTTGGAGAGCTCCCATGAATTTCGAAGGACTATCTGTAGTTCAATCGACTTCTCGGAAGTTCTAGGAACTTTTTTGAGCTTGGAGAACTATGTTAAGTTCAGAGGACTTCCCAAGAGTGTTGAAAACTTCTCTGAAGCTCGGAAAAAATCCATAAGTGTCATAGGATTATCCTTAAGTTTTAAGCAATGCCTAAATGTCGTAGAAGTTACATTAAATCTGTAGAAAATTCTGTAAAATTCGTATTTAGTCCCCAAAGATTAAAGGACTTCCCTGAAGTTCGTAAGACTTCTCTAAAATTTGTAGAACTTCTCTGAAGGTTCGGAGAGATTTCCTGACCGTCGTAGGTCATCACAGTAGTTAACAGGATTTTCCCGAATTTTGTAGAACTTGCATGAAGTTCGAAGGCCTTATCTGAAGTTTTTAGAAACAGAACTTTTTTATTGAACATGTTGCACATGTACTTCAAAGTAGTTACGCGTCGGCACTGCTTAAGTCTGCTATCAATTAAGCACAAATCACACATGCAATTGATTTGAGAAAAAAAAATTAAATTAAAAATAAATACAAAATATATTTACTAAATTCTCAGGGTAAATTTTGTTCATCAATGATTAGTTATGTGAAAGATTTAGCTTGAACAAAATGGTTAGTTTTGACATGATTATAAAAAGAAACTTTGACATACATAAAATTTAAAACCTATTTAAATTATACAAACAAGATTATTTTCCTGGTGGACTTTTGAAATTCCAGGTTTTTTTTCCCGGTTTTTCCTGGTGAAAATAAATTCCCGACTTTTTCCAGGTTTTCCTGGTTCACTTGCCACCCTGCTCTGAGCATCGAACGGAAGGAGAAATGCGGTCAGAATGGATGTTCTATTAGTGATCAGGATCACAAGCGTTTCGTGAAAGCATTTAAGCGGAATCCCAAAAAAGTTGAATCTTTCCAAGTCTTTCGTTCAGAGAGCTAACGGGAGGGACTGCATACGTACAAAGTGCAGAAGGCTTTAAATCGTGACGAACGGCAACATACTTTGGGAAGTCGCGGGCCCGGAAACTGTACACCTAGATGTTGATGAAGCCTCATTGTCTCATCATGGATGATGAAACATACGTCAAGGCGGACTTCCGACAGCTTCCTGTTCTTCACCGCCCAGCACAAGTTTGATGTTCCGGAGGAAGTAAGGAAGCAGAAACTTTCAAAGTTTGCCAAGAAATACATGATTTGGGAAGCGATCTGCTCATGTGGCAAACGGAGTGCGCCGTTCGTGACTACCGGAACTGTAAACGGGGAGATATACCTCAAGGAGTGTCTACATAAGCGTCTGCTTCCTCTGTTGAAGCAACACGATTGCCCTACGATCTTCTGGCCGGATCTAGCGTCGTGCCACTATTCAAATGTTGTCCTGGAGTGGTAGGAAGCCAACGGGGTCACTTTCGTACCCAAGGACATGAACGCCCCTCCCAACACATCGGTACTAAGGCCCGTCGAAAAATACCATCCCAAGGAGATCAAATCTGAGGAAGATATGAAGAAACAGTGGGTTTCCGTACAGAAGAAGCTGCAACCAGATGTTGTACAGAACTTAATGAGTGAAGTTAAGCGTAAGGTGCGAGCGTACGGTTATGGTATTGAAACTGTATTATTCTGAATGTAGACTCAAGGATTTTGCCGGAATTCAAAGTAAATAAATTGGCAATCCTAATTTTTGGAATTTTATGTTCGTTCAAACAATCATAAATTCTACTAGCAGGCAAAATTTCATGAAATTCAGAAACCCTTCGGCCCAAGGATAATAAGGAATAAATCTAGATAGAGCTAGAATAAGGGCCTAACAGCTTTTGTAAACAATGATTTCTAGAAAATCAAGACACGCCCACGCCAACCAATTTATGGTTTGCGTAGGCGTATCTTAAATTCCTAGAAATCTGTAAGCTGTAAGGCCCTTATTCTAAGCTCTATCCAGACATGTTTGCATATGTTGCTCGGTTTTGCGAACGATAACGATATAAAAAAGAAAAAGCTTCCATTTTTGACTTCCGCATACAGATGTTGGACCAGTAGCCCCGCATCACCTAAAACCCCACGGTTTGATCGTTGGAATAAAGCTTCGTCGGACTGGGCGATTGATGTGAACATGTGTGCAAGCAAAACAATTATTACCACCTTTCCGGATACGCGTTTGTCCGGGATGCGGATGTTGCTGAGTCGTTTGGAATGCACTCTGCGGGGGCATCACGTATGTAGGTAGGTAGATTTGCTGATGCATGTGCTGCTGCTGCGAGTAATTCTGTTGCTGTTGCTGCTGCTGTTGTTGTTGCTGCTGCTGCTGTTGTTGCTGTTGTTGTTGCTGCTGCTGTTGCTGTTGTTGCTGCTGCTGCTGTTGCTGTTGTTGTTGTTGCTGTTGTTGCTGTTGCTGCATTTGCACTGGACCGGGCGTCTGCGGGGTGTGAGGGCTAGAAGACGTGTGACTTTTAGAGAATAGGTAATGAAAGACCAGATTAGTACTTGGATGAGCGCCCTTCTGTGCGAAGATGGTTTTCGATGTGCAGTTGGTTAGTTGCGGGATTGATTCCATTTGGATGTTCTTTATGTAATGGTACACCACCGAATGAGATTGCGTCCTACTGAAGTGACCCAACGAAACAAGCACATTTTTTTCTTATATAGAACCAATGAATAAACAAAAAGAAGCAACCATAACCTTCAAAGCACAGGTTGAATATGTACACTTACCGTGAAGGATTGGGTGTACTGGGACTGCGAGGAGTGAATGGCTTCGCCGCAGGGTTCAGGGTGAACGTTTTCTTCGGAACGATCTTTACCGTGCCATCGACATTAGTGCTTCCGGTGATGGTGTCCACAGTGGAAGTGATTTGAATCTGGTTGCCAACGCTAGAACTGTTCGCAGCACTGCTATTACTGCTAGTTGAAGTGTTGATCTGACTGACCGATCCTGCACTGCTATTGCTGTGAACAGAAGACGCTGTTTGTGGTGGCGAGCTCGTTGCAGTTTGTTGCAAAGATTGTGGCTGTGGTGGTGGTTGTTGCTGTTGTGGAGGTTGGGATTGTGGTGGTTGCTGTGGCTGTTGGGTTGGAACCATGTGTTGAGGCTGATGGACAATTCCTGACGGGGTTTGGGAAGATTGGTTTTGCTGTTGTTGTTGATGGGGTGAAGGTTCCGAATGTTTCTGGTTCTGTGAGATTGGCGGTGAAGATTCCATCGGGGGGTTGGGAGATGTGTGATCCTGCTGTTGCATTTGCTGGACGCTGTGTTGCGGAGGTGGTTGCTGATGGACACTCTGCATTGGCGGTTGCTGCTGAGGAGGTGCCAGCTTGAAGTCTTGGCTAAACTTTCGTAAATTGTCGACAACCTGGCGCTGTGGTTGCGGCGGAGGTTGTTGCATTTGCTGCTGCTGTGGTGGAGCAGGACCTGCAACGCTTAAGATCGGTGCAGAGAGCACTACGGGATGAGGTTGCATCACCACCTGCTGCTGAATCTGCTGAGTGTCCACGGGCGGTGGAGGCATGTGAGTCGCATGGTGCGGATGGGTAACATGCATTGGTGGTTTACCCATCGCTTGCATCTGGCCAGTCATTGGCTGAGGGCCGAGCGAGGGCGGCGGTTCATTGTAATTGACCGTGGCCGCACTCGGATATTGCCGCATGGGTCGCTGAGGCAAAGGCTTAGTGTTACTATTTACATTCATGCTACTGCTATTCGACATGTCCCGTCCACCGTCTCCGTTCATTTTGTTCATGTTATTGTTACTATTTACAACCGGAGATTGGCCGTGCTGAGGCGGCGGTGGCTGCTGTGGTTGTTGTTGATGTGGTTGATGTTGCACGTGACCGTACACTGAAATAAAGCCGGGGATGAAATGATGTTATTCTGGTGCTGTAGTTGTGCAAATCACGGACATCGGAATTCAGGACAAATTTAAAAAAAAAAACCTAAGAAGCTCAAAAGCCCCTCAATACGATTTTCATTAGTTAGGTGCTCAGAATTTCAGCGATGTTTCGTCAATTTTACAAAATGGTACCTACCGTACTGTGATGCATGCGGGGGTTGTGGCTGCATTCCACCGCCTCCGTGCTGATTATTAGGTGGCGGTTGCTGTGGCTGAGATTGTGCCTGTTGTGGTTGTTGCTGCTGTTGTTGGGGTTGTTGGGGCTGTTGTGGTTGTTGCTGCTGCGGCTGCTGTTGCAGAGGCTGCGAAGGCATTGACATATTCGGATAACTGTTTTTGTGTGGCGCTTGTGGGCTCAGGGGTTGTTGAGCTGGTGGTTGCTGCTGTTGCTGCGATGGCGGTCCACCGTTATTGGTCAACGGAGGCGGAGTGCTGCGAACAGTTAACTTACCAACCTGACCGGGCTTGCGTTTCGCCGGAACAATGTATTTCGCGTTCGATGGCATCACTGTACTATTATTGCTAGTGCTACTCTTATCGTTCATACTATTAGAACTTTGTGCTGGTGAAGTGGCTGCCGACCCTGACGACGGCTGCGGACTGGAGTCGTTCGGTCGAACGACAGCCGCAAAAGCTGACTCTTCGTCACCGTTTTCCAAATCAATACGGTCCTTGTATATTGGATTGTTTTCTATTTCATTTGCGATTCTTTCCGCTTCCGATTCCTGAACTTTGAATTCATCGGAATCTTTCTTTGTTATCTGAACCGTGTAGCCGGTTAGTGACTGATCAAACGTTGACTGTACTCCGTAGATCGTTTCATTCTTGTGGAACATATCATTCACATCCCATCCATTGGCGTTGGCGTCCAGTTCCAAGTTGAACTCGCATTCGCCGTTCAGTGCTCCACTTTCGTCCCAAGGTTCGAGTTCCCGTTCCTCTGGTCGACCGTTGCCGTTGCAGCGGGAAATGGCGGTGTCCGTCTTAAATGTGTCTCTGGTGGCGTAGTCTAGGTCGACGTCTTTCGCAGCAATACTGACAATATCGCAGGGCTTGAATATGAGCCGATCGACTACCGAATCTACAATGATTTTGCTCTCGTTGTCCGGACCGACCTCAATGCGATGTGCCATTTCCAGCACAACCTGTGGGAGAAAATGAAATTTATACTTAATACTTTATTGCCTTAAATGAACGTCACACATTGGAAATCCACTGGGGATCGAAGGTGGATTTAACCCATTAAAGCCCAGTGATCTATTTATAGATCAGCATTTTTTTCTTTAATCATGTTTAACAGAAATTGAGAACGTTAATTAACATCTTGTTTTATAATAGTGTGAGACGAGTCTTTGGGATACTCCTGGAAAAATCGAGCATTGTTCGGATGCCAATAACGACTGGGCGTTAACGGGTTAAGCACATAATATGAACCTATACGTGAATTGAATTGTTAGTGCAGAGTGATGATAATTCAAATATGACTGATATGGGATTTTAAAATGGGGAAGGACAACCTATACCCGCGTTCTTGGTATGTTGTCTTTTGCAAAAAAAATCAATCGAAGTGAAGTGCGAACTGCATCGCAAGCATACAAAGCCCCATGACGCCTTGTTCAGTATGTGTCGTGACACAAGGACTGAAGGGCTGCTAAATATGTAGGTATATGTGCACTAAACCGTATCGTGCCCCGTGAATGAAAGTCGTTGGTATACCTACATATATAGACAGAATTGGCGAAAAAAGAAACTGCACAACATGGAAAAGAATGAACGACTAGACTTGGTCTTTGGGTGTAACTGGAAGGAGCCGTATAATCTTAAATCAATAAGCCATCTATACCATTTGAAGCCAGAGGAGACGAGGCTATCTGAAATGTTGGGACAATATTGCATAATTCAAAGTTTTATAAAACAAGAAAGCACGTCCCTATCATCTCGTCTGCTGGAAGAGAAATGCAAAGCCCTGCAACATAAAAATCAAATATCCTTGGTATACAAATTTCTAGAACGTGATACCTCCAATCTCACGTTTTCAAACTCTACCATCAACCGTTCAGTTCATCAGCAGAGATTCGAGACGGTTTTATGTGCGCTGTTCTCAGCCATCAGCCACCAAATGAAAATCTCATCTCATCTTCGCGGAGAAGATATGACCTATTTAACTTAATAGTTTATGCACATTGACGACTGGCAAGCAGAAAGAGCACACTACTAACCTGAAACTGCGACGAGAATGTCCGGAACACTCCTTCGTATATGACACCGGATGCTGTCTGGACTTGCACAATGTTGCCGACGTGTGATGTGGCCGCATGCATAAACAGTGCATTGTTGTAGATGCCATCCGCGACGACCGAACGCTGCCTCTGTGTCCTGTAGGAGAAATTCGGGAGAAAAAAAAAGAAGTTAAACATAATTAATCATGCGAACTTTGATTGCGATTAGGATTCGTGTCAAGTGTAATAAAGAGGACGATCTTGGTGTAGTGGTTAATATCCATACCTCTCACGCGAAAGTCACGAGTACTAATCGCAAGTCACCAATGAGTGTTAAAGTTACTATACAAATAGTAATGCACAAGAAGTGTAATAAGGTTAAGTCAAACGGTAATAGGAGAAACATAAGATATCATTATAGGCGTAGCCAGAGGGGGGCAATTGCCCCCCTAAACACAAAGGCTTTCGGTGAAAGGGCATTTGGTTAAATTTTCCATAGTAATTTTTTCAAGCCCCTCCCTAGCTCGAAACCTGGCTACGGCTTTGGGTAGCATATTCAAATGACGTTGCGTTTGTTGGGCCCCGGTCATTTAATATCGTAGCGTATATGGGAGACCATTAGTTTTTCACCGGTGAAGACACTATTTCGCATCTAGACTATCCTTTTAAAAGAGCTTGTGTTTTCTCATATACAACCAACTGGGAAATATAAGATTATCTTACAGTTTTGTGTGTAATAGATGGAAGATCTGTAATAAATTACCGCATATCACGCATTCTACCAGGTTGTAGCCACGTTTTTACCAGACGGTTTTTTAGGATTCTTGACCCCCCCCCCCCCCACCTTTGCGAAGACAATTGTCCATACATAAATTTTAAAATTTGTATGGGCCGTGGATAATTCTCAACCCAACCCCCTTATCAACTGTCTACGTAGTTTATGAACAGCCTCTAAGGCTATTTTAATAAAGAAAAAAAAAATAGATTTTTAAATAAAAGCATTTAATTTGACTCATAACTCATAACTCACTTTAAATAAAAGCATTTAATTTTTATTCACACTTTAAACTTTATGGATCAACAGTGGATTAATCTGCAGTAACAAATAAATAAAAAAAAAAACATATGCTTGAAATGTTTTGGTTATTTTTTGGAACATGTATATTTCCTAGAAATTTTAAATTTGAACTAGTTCTTTACTTAAAAGCTATGAGACTTCAAAAAAAATTCAAGAATCTGGAGTCAAATTCCATTCACGGTTTCAAAGGCTCGTTGAATTTTATTATAATTTTTAAGGGGAAGTTTACCGATAATAAAAAAAAAATAATATTTTCGACACGTTTTTTTTCTAATAATATCAAAAATCCAAGAAAATTAGTTTCTTCCTTAGATTCTGGACAAAAATTACACGTAAAAATATTTTTGCTATATCATCATGAAAAAATATTGGACACTCAGCAAAGCCGAAAAGACGATGTTTTGTGGTTTTTGAGTCCAACTTTATGCCATGATGACTTACAAAACATTTTTTTGTACTTGAATTTTCTTTAGAAAATTAGAAAAAATGTGATTGTTTTAGATTTTTGATATCTTTCTCTCCTGTTTTCAAAGTAGTTCTGAGGAATTCTAGATTTCATGTGAAGCCTGATAGTTTTGAGTAGAATTTAAAGGAACCCTGAATTGAATTTAAAGAAAATCTTAATGAAAACTCTAAGGAATTTCTGAGGAGCACAACTCCTGTGAACTTCAGAAGAAGATTCCAAGGGCATTCTGAGAATAATTCCATAAAGTTTGGGGGAGAAAACGAATCCGGCGCATAAGTTCTTGGATTTTTTTTATGAAAACACTAAAAGGAGGATTACAATTAAATCTGAGAATAACTCCAGGACATCTTCAAAGGAATTCGGAAAATAAATTCAGGAGAGTTTGCCAAACAAATTATGAGAAGAAATCTAAGGAATTTGTGAGGAGAAACGCCAATGAATTCTTACAGGAGACTTTCAAAGTGAGTAGAATTCCAAGGGAAGGACGGATATTCAAAAGGAAATTTGAAATTAATTCAATGAATATTCGGATAATCTTTCCGAAGGGTTTCTTATTGTGGAGAATTTCAAGGTAATTCCAAGGGAAACTAAAAGAAATTTGAATTAGGAGGATAGCTTTATCGAAATAGTATTTCAATGGAAATCTCCGTTGAATATGGAATGGACTATTCTGAAGTCTTCGGAACTACTTTAAAGTTCCCAAATTTTTCCTGAAGTTAATGAATCTGCCTTGAAGTTCTTTTGTAGTTTGAGAAACTAGGATGATGCTCACAATACTTCTCATCAATTTCTTAAACTTCCCTGAACTTTATAGGACTTCCTAAAGTTTACTCATTGATGCCTATGATTAGGGATTTTCTCTAAAGGTTTAACAATTCGCTGAAGTTCTCTAAAATTTATGTGACTTCTCTAATGTTAACGGAACTGCCCTGAGGTTCTCTGATCTTTTCTGAAATTCTCAAAACTTCTCTAATTTGTTTGCAGTTCTCATGAAGCTTGTTGTACTGCGCTGAATTTAATTGAACTGTCCTAAAAATATTTAAGCTTCAGTGATCTTCTGAACTTATGCGAAGAGCTCAATTAACTTTTTAACGTCTCTGAAGTTATCTGAAATTCTGGGAACTGTTTCAAATTTCCCACTAATTTTCTGAAACTGTTCCATAAGACCTCCCCCTGAAATTCCTCTAATTTTCGATGCTTACTAAACTTCTTTCAAATACTCCCGCGTTTTGCTAATGTTCATAACTATTCTTGAAGTTCGCGGATCTCCCTTTAAGCTCCATAGATTTCTATGAAGTTCTCGAAATGTTTCTGAAGACCACTATCCTTCTGTGAAGTTTTATAAGTGTTCTAAGTTGCTGGAACTTTTGTGCTTCCGTAATTTTCATGGACTTGGAATGAAATAATTAAAATACTTCTATGATTTTAACTGAAGTTCAAGATTTTTCCAAAGTTCATGGAACTTTACTTAAATTATCGACACTTATTTAAAACTTCTTCAATAGTCTGGATTTTCATAATGATATTAAAACTGCTTAAACGATTACTAAATTTCTTTAAAATTCTCTAGGCGGCCCTGAATTTAACAGTAGTTTTTAAGAACCCGCAACTTTACTGAAATTAATTGATTTGCCATGAAGATTTTACCATATTCCTTAAGTATTATAACCATTATAAACGCTAACTAATTTTCTCTGAACTTATATATGCTTACCGGAAGTTCTCTAAATTTGTTTAATAATACTATAAATTTTCTGATTTATATCCATAATTGCTTGACGCTTTTGACGTTTTCGGATCAATTATAGAATTCTTGGAATACGCAATGATTCCACGGAACTCATTCAGGGTGTCTACTCAATCCAAGGAATCAAATTCCCTATTTTCTAGGTTTTTCCAGGTGCATACAAATTATACACATTATTATTTTATCTATTTATCCATCTGGAATCCCTTTTATGTACTTATTGATTTATGTTATTTTCGATTGTTCAAACTTGGGCGTTGGTACTTATAAGTCGGCACAGCAAAAAAGTTATTGAATATTACAGCAGAACAGATGCACATAGGTTGTTTAATATTAATTCGTACAATTTATGTTTAGTAAATGCACCAATAGTGGAGGCACGTTAGTACAATGTACTTCTATAGCGGCTTAGGGAGATTCTATAAGCCACCATAGGAACACATTGCACTAAAATACCTCCACTATTGGTGCATTTATTCTACACATAATTTTCGAAAAGAAATTATATCCATGGGTGTAATATTGTATTTGGTTTTTGCAATCACATTAGTTATTCATACAGTAGCAAGCATTACGTCAATCAATATTACATTCTTTTTTGGTATTTGTGTAGTATTTTTTAATTCAAGAAGATAAATACAAGTAAGAAACTTGTCTATACTATTTCGATAAAACGATATATCAAAATTTGATAACAACAAAAACAAAATATCATTTTGATAATACGTTTGAGTCCAACTCTGTTTGGAAGATCAATACAGAATAAATCATGGTTTCACAAGTCTAAAATCTCTTAAGGTCCGTTTAGACTATCTGATTTCTTGGTCTGATTTTGACCGCCGCCATAATGAAAAATCTGCTCGAATTTACTTTCGACACACTTTGTCCACTGATGTTGACGAAATTTCTAATAATCTACAAACTTCTCGAGAGTTCTGTAATTTTCTCTGCAGATTTTCATGATTCAATGAATATCTGCAAATATCTCTGAACATCTATACAATTTTCTAAAGAATTAAAAGATTATCTAGAAATTTTTGAGCTTTCCGGAAGTTTTAGGAAGTATTCTGATTTTTTTAAATTTTTTTAAGCTGTGCAAATATCTCTAAAGATCAGCGAACTTACCTGAAGTTCTGTAAATGTCTTTCAAAATCCAAGAACCGCAGTAAAATTCTGAAAATTTATTTAAACATCTGCTAACTTTTGAGTGGATTTACGATCTACTCTCTGAACTTTTCTGAAGTTCCTAAAATTTATTACAAATCCTGTAAAGTTTTTCTGCTCTAAATACCTACGAACAGCTTCAATAAATTTCACAGTAGATCTCCGAACTTTTCTAAAGTTCTTCAAATTTATTTGTGGATTCTTGATCTAAAGATCGGCGAACTTTCCCGGAGATCTGTGAGTTTTGCTGAAGTTTTGCAAATTTTTCTAAAAACGTACGAACTTTCTGACGTTTTACAGACTTCTTTTAAGGTCTACGGACTTCTCTTTAGGTCTACGGACTTCTCTTTAGGTCTATGGACTTCTCTTAAAATCTACGGACTTCTCTGAAGTTCTTTAGATCTATCTATCTCCGTAGCTTCTATTTGAAAATTTTCATGAAGATTACCAAGATCTACAAATTTTCCTGAAATCGTGAAATTTTTTTTTTTAAATCGCCGGACTTCCCTGAAGTTCTGCAATTTTTACTGAAGATCCATTAACATTTCTGAGATTCTTGTGATTTTTTCAGATGTCCTGTAATTTTTTTCAAAGTTCTGTAGCTTTGTTCTGAAGATTTACGAACTTTTCTGATGTTGAATAATGTTTCGAGGATCTCCAAACTTCTGTGAAATACTTTGAATTTCACTATAGATTCTTGGACTTGTCTGAAGTTATGCGAATTTCCCTGAAGATTTGCAAAATTTCGCTTATAGTTTTACAAATTGTTTTGAAATTATTTTTGCTTGCTTGAAGTTTTGAAAATTTCTTTGAACATTTATCTGAAGATCTACAACCTCTCTTGTGATTTTGTTTTTATGAATTTCTATTAATTACTTTTTAATTTGTTTGTAGTTCTGTTCTCAAGATCTACGAACTACCCTGAAGCTCAACAAATTTATCAGTAGATCAGCGACCCTCTCTGAAGCTCAAAAAAAAAAATTCTATGTAGGCTCTCAGACCTGCTTATTCTTATACAATACATGCTTCGTATGCTTCCTTTTGACGGTTGCCAGTCTCTCTTTTTCGGCTGTTTCCTTTTTACGACGATTTTGATCCTCCACATACAAATCAGCGAAGAGCGAGCGTGACAAGACTCTCTGAATGAACCTGTCTCGTTCGCACACGTTGTCTTAGCTGTCAGATGCTTGTCAAGTTCAGTGTCCTTAAGAAACGTTTCGAGAAACTGAACGAAAAACTTCTTTTGAATTACGAATGAAGTGATAATTGGAAAATTCCCTGAGTGGAACCAAAATTCACTGAATATTCCAGGTTTTTCCAGATAAAATAAAATTCCCAGTTTTCCAGGTCTTTCCAGGTAGTAGACACCCTGTCATTGTAAGTCGCTTCAAATTTGCTTAGGTTAATGGGATTATTCTGAAACTATCTGATCGTTTTCGAAGCACTCGGAACTTCGTTGAATATGGTGAAACTATCTAAAAATATCTAAATTTATTAGATTTTCTCTGAACTTTCTTGAAGATATCGCTGCTTGCTAAAAGTTCTCGCATTTTTTATTAATGGAACTTCTTTGATGTTCTTCAATAAAATTAGCTAAATTTACGCATTTTTTTTAAATTCTTGGAATTTTTATGATCACAACTCACTTAAAATACTCTCACGTTTTCCGGATGCTCATATAATGTTTATCACGTTCCAGAAATTCTCTCGGAGCTTGCTGAAGTTTCCGGAAAATCCCTGAGTTTCTCGAAACTTCTTTAAGGTTTCTACAATTTCCTTGAAATTGCTTGAACCGCCCTTTGATTCTATGATCTGTCTTGATGTTCTCGAAGCTTCCCTATAGCTCTCAATTCTATTGAAGATCTCGGTTATGCTCGGAAATAAATGTAATTCTTGTGAACACGTTTAAATTTCCCTGAAGTTCTCTGGACTTCTGTGAAATCGATGAAACATTTCTGAACTTAGAACTTCTTAAAAAATTGCACAATACCCCTCAAGTTTTTTGTATTTCTCAAGTTCGCTTGACACATGTGAAGTTCTCTGAAATTCTAGGAACTTCATAAAAGTTCCTGAAACTTTTCGGATGCTAAAAGAACCGCACCGCTTTAAGGTTCTTAAAGCTTCCAATAAGTTCCCCATATTTTCAGCGTGTTAATTTCCCTTATGTTCCCGCAGTTTGTTTATGGAGCTTCACTGAAATTGTCATCATTTCCTTCCATTCCTCAGAACTTCTCCAAAGTTCCTACAACTGTTTGTGAAGTTAATGGGACTGCAAAGAAGAACTTTTATCTTTGATAAAGTTAATTACGAACTTGCAATAAATCATTTATTTTTTTCCTTATTTCTGGCACTTCGAAAATTTGCATTTTTTTTTAAACTTTATTGAAGTGAGTTTTTTTTTTACTTTATTGAAGTAAGTGTTTAGCTTCAACATTCAATGGATTTGATTGTAAAGTTGTTTCTTGAAAACTGATTGCCATGTCTTAAAAACGTTTGGGTTAGTTGCTGTTGTTTTGATCTACCAAGCATATTTTTAACGCATTTAAAAAAAAAACAGCTTTTTTATTATAAGCCTGGAATTTATCCGTTAAAGTTCTGGAAAAACCTGGAAAACTCAGGTATTAAGAAAAATTAGTAGACACCCTGTAGATAGAGAAAGACGATTAAACGTCACAAAGCATAAAAGAGAGATAAATCTTGAAATAAATTCAGTTGAAAACAGTGTAAAGGAATTTCAAAATATGTCTAAACCCTTTACTACTCGCTCAGTTAACAGCACACAGGAATTCGCAAATCAACTTCAGGCATCAGGAGAGATTCGGGAAGATGAAGTTGATTGATGTCACAGCACTTTTTCCGAGTGTACCAGTAGAGGAAGCCATCAGCCTTTTAGAGGACTGGCTTCTGAAGCAACGTGAGGATTCTACTTGGAAAAACAAAGTTCGGTCATATCTCAAGCTTACTCGTCTTTGTATAGAGGAAAATTATTTCATTTTTAGAGGAAATTTTTATAAACAAACTAAAGGCGCTCCTATGGGCAATCCGCTTTCTCCATTTTTATGTGAATTGTTCATGGCGAACCTAGAAAATACTCTGGAGGATAGAAATTTGTTGACCAAGTGCTGGATGACATTTTTAGCATTGTCGAAAGGGAAGATTTATCAAGATTTGAAGTCCCAATGTGTCGTTCGGGAATAGTGGGAGTATATAGGAACAGTAATTCGATTAAACTTGGAATGAACCTTTGCGGGATGATGAAATAAAAGTCCGAAAAAAACATCTGGGGTGGCCTGAATATTTTTGAAGGAAGACAGACGATAATTTTAGCAGAAAGCAAATGCTCTTTTGGAGAGAGTCGTAAGAAATTTTAGGGGAAAGTATATAGAAACTTCCAAACTTCCAAGGAAAGTCTTGAGGACCTTCCGGAAACAGTCGGAAGTTCCATAAGAAGCCAGAATGACCTTTCGGCGAATTTGAAGGACTGTTCCAGACGAAGTTGTAAGAACCTCCGGGTATAGTTTGAAGGATATTTCTGTAGAATCTTTCAGCCAGAAACGTTTTGGGTAGTTAGAATAAACTTTTAGCAGGAGCCTGAAAAATCTTTCCGAAGAATGTCAGAAGACAGACGCTGACTGACGACACATGAAAGCTTTTTGGGAAATGCTGAAAGAAGCTTCACGGAGAAATTCTAAAATGACTGTAGTAGCAACGGAGGTAAAAAAAAAGGTTAACAAGGTATTGACAATTGCTAGTGCACTGAGCTACTACACAGTTCGCTGAACGCCTACCAAATTTGCTGAACTTCTAGAAAGTTTCATGAAGATCTATGATGCACCTTGAAATTCCACAACGTTCCCTGAACTTTTACGAAGCTCCCCTAACTGAAATCAAATGATGTTTTCTTAACTTCCACAAATTACCCTTGACTTGACTTTCTTAGAATCCCTGTACTACTGTGAAGACTCAGTTTTATAAATTGGAAATATTGAACGCCTTCCCCCAGGCGCAAATTTTTAAAGTAGCGATGAAGGTATGTGTGAATCATGTCGATTTTTTTTAAGTACACGTGGCATCCCTGTATAAGAAAGTAAAAACTAGTACGTTTCTCGACAAGATCTGAAATCCATTCAAATACTACCGATGATACGGCCTAGCTAATGGGGGTGTTTAGCGGACCAGGCTCCCTCTACATTTTTTTGAAGATTTATATAATTTATATTATTGATATTAGAATCACCAAAACCTGCATGTCTAGTATTAGAATTTAAAACCTTTGTCTTTTGTCTCTCTTTATTAGTTTTTGTTTGTCTTGTTCCTCCCTCTCGATGAGTCTCATTGCCGTCACCATAGCCGGTCGAACTCTAGACGAATCTAGAACCGCACTACCGTTCATACTGGCGACAACGCTCAGATGAGACAACGGAACCTCACCCCAAGCTCTTCCCCTGGTCCTATCCTTCGACAATGTACTCCTCTAGTCTTGGTAAGTCGTGAGTATTCGGCCCAACTCCTACTAGAGGAATAAGTGAATTTGGTTAAAAACAATGAACCATGAATTATCGGCCCCGTAGAGCTAACGCGATTGAGCCGAACTAGATAAAAAAAAATGTCACGACTGGCACACAATATGTACGAATGCTAATACAAACTCTCAAGAACACAAAGTTGAAGGAGGATGCAAAGCTCTAATTCGGACGTAAAACACTAAGAAGCAGTGGCGTCGCGTAACCTCACTTTTTACCTGTTCAACAACTTTGAAAACGTTTTCATTTTTACATTCAAATCAGTTTCAAAAGGCACAGGGTCTTTAAAGTTTCACTGATTTGTATTAATTGATACCAATATTGTTTTATTTCATAACGTTTTGGGAGTTGCTGAACAGGTAGATTGAGGTTAGGGCGACGCCTCTGATGAGAAGAAATATCTCAGAAGAAAATTTCACCCCCTTTTCTCCTTCTTTTACGTGAAAACACATTATCTCCATGTTGTCCGAAACATATCTGCTTGAAATACAAGTCGACATTTGATGCGTACCATTTTTCAATATAGTCCGATCGTTGGCCTTGTCTAAAGTTGAATCTCAGGATATGTCAATATAGCTGACCACTACCGTACCAAACAGAACCGGCACCGTAACGTTCTCTGCTTGAAGTAAAGCGTTTCTTCTTCTTCCTGCTAACTACACGTCTACCCTTGCGCTATGCCACTTCAATTACACTTGATTGTGTTCTATATATGCTTCCGAGCTGCTCCTGAAGCCGTAAGAAGCGCACCAGTTTATTTCTATTTTGACAGAGAACCCACCGCACTACTTATCCGTTACCCCGCGCACAGACAACATTCCACGTATTGTCAGAGAAAAAAGTCACAACACACCACACCACTACAATGCGGTCAGTTCGGCTCTCGAAATTTTCTCACAGTATTAAGGGTACTACTCCTTCTCTCAACTGCGGCTTTTCCACTCAGTGTTAGTTCCCGCACGGCTTCCTGCTCTTTGTAGAACCTGCTGTCTGCTTTTCCTGCCACCTGCATGCGTCGCGACGCCCTTCGACGAATTTTAAATGTTCGTTCCAGCGGCAGCGGAAGCAGCAGTATTGATAAAACAGTAATTAATGATTACTCTCAATTTGAGATTTTCCCTTCAATCATCATCGACGGGATCCGCTATTGGTACCAGCCGGCTCCACCGATTCGATTCGATCAAGCACCGAAGAGCACATGAGACAACAATGGCTCGTGAAAAATTCTCTCACACTAACGCTCACGCTGAAGACCACCATACTTGGTTTTCCACAATGCGGTCGCCTTTCGCCTGTCCTCGTTGGACAAAAAGTCCCGCAAAGAGGCACCCATTTTGTCACACTATTTCTTCGACACGATTGATTTCACTACAAATTCTTATGCTAAATGCTAACACGATTTCAATAGATGTATATTGACAACACTTTGTATTTCGAGCACCATTGATGAAGAAAATAACAACGATCGGGCACGATTTTCCTTCGCTTAGCGTTAAAATACGGAAAATTGCAATGGAACAAAAAGGTGAGGCCAGGAAAAGTCCTCCTCTTTGCAACTGTTCTTGGATATTTTTTCGTTCTTCAAGACTCACTCCTCCTCAGACGGCGGCAGCGGACAGATATAATAGGCAGAAGTTGAAAAACTAAAACTCTAAATATATCGCAGTTTTTCTTCGTTTTCTTCCCTCATGCAGCTTATTTTCCGTTCGAGCTTCCGCGAGACAGCGGTCCCTTCGATTCACATGTGAGTGCCGTCCGAAAGCGAAAAAAAAAATGCAAAAAAGAAGATCTTTCTTCAAACTTTTTTTTTTTGCTACACTCGATTTGTTTCGACTCGTCTTGTCTTTAATTGGTAAATCACTTAAATTTATATCACAATCAAGTTACAGCAGCGCACAGTATCCAGAGCAACCGAAGGAGCAAAAAGTAACTACGAAACCGACAATCTCCCTCTGGAGGGTAGGAAGAACCGTCATTAGCCGATTGATTCTTTAATCGTTTCCTTATCAATTTCCACGTAAAATGTACCACAAAGCTCTGGGCTGGTCACGACAAAGCCACGGCGGACTGTAGGATTACAGATTTTTCCGGATTCCGATCCGACACAGACAGACGGACCGAGCGACCGACCGACACCGACCGTCCGAGCGTTACGTACAGACCGTGAATGAGAGTGAGTGAGAAAAGTGTGCAACTCTACTCGACTGGCACAATGATGAACGTCGTGGTGCAGGATCGAACAAAAAGGATGGCAGGCAGGCCGGAAGGTCTGGGATTGAGGTGGAACGAGGCAGCAGAAAATTGGAACACGGGAGAGCCGAGTCCACCACGGAGAGAGCGTAGCGCGAAAAACAGATCGATAGCGTTGGGGAGCCACAGCAGACAGTCAATGTGCCTTACCCTTGCCTGAAGTTTCCTTCACTCTCTGTGTGTTTGTGTGTGCGCGGCTGTTTCTCTATATCGGATGCATTTTTGTCAGTATTTGCAACAACAGCACCCAGCACTTCAAAACGAGGAGAAAACTGGCGAGTTTTCCACCATTTTGGGTGTGTGGTTGTGAGTGGTGAGACTTTTCCGACAGGGCGGTGAGAACCGAATCGGAAAATGCGGGATGTTTAGTCCCAATCCGATGTCAAAGCAATGAGGCGTGGAATAGCCGGTTGAAAGAACCGATGCACGTGGAGACGCAAGGTTGTTCATCGGGTGAAGTTGATCGAATTTGGAATAGTGTGACAATTTCGTTCAATTTATCAGCTAATGGGCGTTCTTCAAGCAACAATGTGGGTAACATACTCCATAATATTACTTTAAAGCAGTGGCGTCGTATAACTTTACTTACAGATTTACTGTCCTATTCATTTTGCAGCGTTTGGTGGGGCAATGGGAGCGCAAGTCAATCCAAAGCCGAAGATAAAGGACGGGTAATGGCTGAATAGTCTATGCGGACCACTTGAACGCCATGGGAAAAGGAAGGGATTAAAGAGGCCGGTTATTGGGAGGGGGGGGGGGGGGAGGAAATGACACATAGTGATGCTAAATGTAAAGAAACCGAAAATCCATCTCCCACTGATTCATCACACATATATACCAAATTGATATTTTATAGTAATAATCAAAATAAACAGACAATACATGAAAAGGCTAGTTGCCAGTTGCTTTAAAGGCTAGTTGCCTCCCTAAGCGGACCCTCCGCATCCTAAATCTTCTGTTAATCCACTTAATGCTACTAGGCTGTCTAAATTTTCTTATTTAAGTTCGTTTTGATCTCTAGTCTAATTTAATAAATAATTGAAATCTCTAATCTACCTACCATGCTTTATTAAGTACCTGCACTTGTGAATGTAATCTAAAATTTAACGTGTTTCAAGTTGTTTTTGACTTTGACCTATATTTAATATTTATTAGTTCGTCCCAGGTGACACCTTCAAGTGACTAAAATGCTTCACTTTGAAGCTAGTTTCCTAGCTGATTTTTAAATTACATAGGGTATATGCTTCACAACTACGCTCACACGTTTCCACTATGTTGCACCACAAAAATACGTATGGTTATGTCACAATAGAAGCACGTTCAAACACTTATCCCAAATCAAAATGAAGCACATATAAGATTAGTTGCAATACCATGTACAAAAATAGTGTTTAACATTGTTCCCTGAGTAATACCTCAATGAAAAAAACAACGAAAGCTTGTCACGCAAGTAGAAGGAGCACTGTTGGGCACTTTATGAAATATATTAATGGTATAATTCTCTTGCAAACCCAAATAAATCTATCTACGTAAAAATAAATAAAATAAGAGTGATTTGCGGCAAAACCCGCCAGTGTCGCACCCAACGTCAGTGCCTATACGTAAGCGTACTACAACGCGGCTTTCAAATAAAGGAGTAACAAGTGTGATACTATCACTTCAGGCTAGAACTTTGGTTCTCTTATGCAATGGTTCATCAGAGAGGGGAAGCTCAGTAATCCTCATCGCATGCTCATGACGCTATTCTGTCACGGCATGAGCCAACGATGCCGGACCTAAACCAACCGTCTCCAACGCTCCACTATGAAGCATAAGATTAGGCCCGCCCACCAACGTCCAGGTTAAAAAACTAGCGAAGGGGAGGGACTTACAGATTTACTGCCCTATTCTATTCGTAATCGAATCGGTTGAAAATGCACTTAATCCTCTAGTTTACTCGATATCAATCCATTGCAAGCAATATTTTGATAAAAGTAGGGTGTCAACTGATATTACATTTGAAAATCCCATGTATTTTCACTGTCTTCCTGGTCAATAGTTCGAAAATTTACGGGCAATAGCCAACAATTGAACATTTTTTATACAGCTATTCCGTAGCAAAATATAAGACCCGTTTTTTTGTCATTAGGGTGACCATTTCCATGTTAGGGTGGTGCAAAAATAGATTTTTTTCAAATATTCACCAAAGATCCAAATATCAAATGAAATAATACTTTTTACAAAAAAATTAATGATTAAAAAACTTAGATTTTGTGTTGAAAAACATTGATTGTATTTGTTTTTTATGGTTTTCATGGTTTGTAGATGGAGGTCGGAATATGTTTATTTTATTTTTCCTTGAAATTTTAGCAGGGTGTCCATTCAAATCCTATTTTTCAATTCCCGTTCCCGGTTATAATAAAAAAAAACAACCCAAAAGTCACCCCTGCTTTAAACAAAAAAGACGTTAAAAATAACCGTTTATAGATAATCATATATTTGCAAAATTGTTTTACAATACGTTTACTTTGTAGAAAAAATAAGAGATGAGATTTGCATAAACATATTGATCATCTAAATCCGCCTTCGGATAACGGTTTATCGATGAATTCCACCACCCGGTTATAAAATATCTCATGCTAAAATACGGACCTCACGAACGATAAATAAAACAACACTAATCCTCAGCGGCACCCGTCAGTCGTAAACGAAACAATTAAATTACAGCCAGAACAATTTCGAGAACACTACGCGCTAGACAATTTTTACACTGATGTCATAAAGCTTGCTATCTTTGTCTGACTTGTCAACATTGCACTGTGCATTGACGTATGATCGAACCAACGACCCAAAAAAAAAAAATCGGCTTCAAACAAAGTGTTCTTGGATGTCTTTCTTGCCACCGGAGTGACACTCTTGGATCATTCGTGACTTATCCGGGTGAGATTTGAACTCATGACTTTGGTGTGAAAGGTATGGATTCAGATATTTATGTTTTACAGACTAACCAAGGTATTCTACGATGCTCTGACTAATCTTATCGTTCGCACAAAATCCAGAAATTATTTTCCAATTAATCTCTGGATCAATCATCTCATGATTTGTTTTAGACATCCAAAGAGTTTGAGATTGGACACTGTTTTTATTGGCATAAATCTGCTTCTCTATCTTAAAATCGAGCTTCAAGTAGTTTCATAACAGGATATGAGTCGCTCAGGCTTTATACTAGAACTACTACACTCGGAAAACTGTAGCAAAATAATTCAAACACGTTTCTTCCAAAACAGGGTGTCGACTCAAAGCCGAAAAAAAAATCCCTGGCTTTCCAGTCGGTTTTCAGAAAAATCCCAGTGCGCAATACTCCGTTATTTTAACCTAAGAAGCTACAACGTGATGTGCTTTATTATACCGTAGTGGTTAGTTTAAAATGAGCAGCAGGGTAAGCTTTCGAAAATATCAAGAATACCAATAACTTTCTTCGCTTATTCTCGAGATGTTTCGCTTCTGTTTCTCTCTGGCGTTTCAACAATTTCGCTTTGTCGGAGCTTCTTTTATACGACGATCTTTGTCTACATGGAAAGCAAATGCGAATTCCGAACTCGCTGAATAAGTTCATTTGTAAGTTTTCCAACCCGTCTGCATGAGTAACACCATCATAGATCTGACGTCGTGCTACGACTGACTCTTCCCTCATGTTTTCAAAAAGACATTCTTCATTTGCTGAAAATCTCTCTGCATTGGCGTTGCCATGCGATAAGCAGCAAATCATTTTCAAAAACCAACAATAGTTCTAAATACGCCGACCGCCGACGCCTGTGCCAAAAAACGTCTAGTCGTTCTTTTTTTGCGATCATATTGATAGAATGTGCCTTTACCTGTGCATATTGTTCAGATGATCAATATAAATAAACCTATCCATAATGCCTCTAACCATTTGAGACGTCGCGTTGTACAACCCTAATAAAAATGTTATGGTTATTTTGCTTAACGACGTGTTCTGGGTATCATCCAAACCATTTGTGGAATAGTTCCATCATTTGGGTTATCGTTCGTTTATGGTAATTTTTTATTAGGGAAAAAAGGCACCATGGGGTTGTCCGTCTGAAATTCGCATAGAAATGGCTCAACTTCGACAGCAACTGATTTGAAGAAAGTCAGCTTAAAACGCTGGCCAGACTGAGCAGTTATAACATGTTATAACGGTTGTCAAATAATTGCAACATAGAAACCACCATCAAAATAGCGCTATAACATGTTATAACTCTGTAGTCTGAATGTACGATTAGCCATCAGCACATCAGCAGCGAGTCATTTAAACAGTTTTTTAAAATCTTGGTAGGAAGCCGACGTTGTTTCATAATAACG